TAATACCATTATTTTTTATTTTTTTTGTAAAGCAATTGTAAGGTAACACCTTGCATTAACGTGATTGAATTACAAGATAACACTTAATACAAGCCAGGTTTACAATAATTGCACCCAATACACATTGTGATTCAATCACTGCAACCGCATTCAGAGGTATTCAGGGATGGATTCTGATCACTGCTGTTCTGAAAATTCATTTTCATAAAATGTTATTTGAAATCAAAGATCATAACAACACCTAAAGGTTGACTGGAAACAGATTGACATTGTCCCTCGTCACTTTCTCCTCCAACTCTAATTGTAATCTAATTAACATTTTACTTACAAGAGAGGATCCAGCCTCCTGCTTGTTGTACAAGCAGGTTATAGGCCCAATGCACACAAGCAGAATAACTGCAGGTCTGGATGTTCACTACCAGCCCTTGATTTAAATTTAGAAGTTTGATAATGACTCCTTTATAGGATGCTCTACCAGCTCACTGCATCAGTGTTTTCAAAGTAACTGCACATTGGTGTGTTTGCCACTATCAGCATTGACCGAAGTGCTCCCGTTTCCCAGCTCTCGTCACGCAGCTGCGCAGCAGGGCCCGGCTCCGCTCCAGGGCCCCAACCACTCAGCATTAATCTGTTTTCCCAATTTGTCCCTGTCAGGGATTAGTGCTGTCACTCAAAAAGCAGCCATCCACATGGATCATTTGCCTGTTTCTTTCTCCTCTGCTCTGTTCCTCTGTGTACTTTCTCTATCTCTCCATCTCTCTGCCCCTCTTCTCTGTTTCTGGATATCTTTCTCGCTGTAATCCTCACTGTGATGGGTGGCCTACGGAGCCGACGTTATCAGCTTAGCTGAGAGCTGTTGTGAATGTGTGCAAGAACTCTCAACAACCCCTCACTTCTCATTCACTCACCTCTCCACTCCGCAGTCAACCATCCCCCATGTCACCATCCCATCGCCTCCATTAGAGCCCCGCCCCCTTGTCCCACCCATCAGAAGACCACTGTCCACATTAGCATTGGCACAGCATGTGGGTGGAAAGGTGAATGGCATCCCCCTGTTCACAACTCTTGGGATGCTTTATCATTATTGCCCCACTACAGCAGTAGAAGGAAGCAAATTGTCCAAACAATGAGATTAAACTGATGCATTTATGTACCTAATTGACTTTAAATTGGAGCACACAGTGAGAACTCAAGAATTGGGGGCAATGCTAGTCATAAAGCGGTAAGCACCCAAATGCATCAACTGACCTTTCATTACAAGAGGAAGAATTGTTAAATATGTACTAACTTATACGCCGTTAGCCACTGATGAAAGGTTACTTCAAAGCTTTGCAGTCTTTGGTAAGTATACAGATGCAAAACAAATCAAAATGCAGGCTAAATTGGGGCTCCTTAAATGTGCATTCAGTAGTTTGGTGCCAATTAAAAAAGTTTACACAGTAAGAAATAAATTGCGTTATCTGAATGGTGTACACTCATGAGATGAAGACTGTACTAATTTATTTACTTATTCCTCATGCTCATTGGTTCTGTAGATACTCAAGCAGCATGTTGTTTGGTCATGTGAAGAGTGAAAATTAGACAATATAACACTTGTTTTGTGTTTTACCAGCGGAAACAATGGGAAATTAGTACCTGTATAGCCGAAAAAGCTGAAAGACTTAGTCAGAAGACAGAAAGACAAAAACGAAGCACGTTCACGAGAGTCTGAAGTGCAGACTTTATGTCGCTTCCTATTGAGACATAATCTTTTTATATAGGTTGAGACTTCCAAGATAAGCACAAGTACCATTTTGATGAACAATACAACACAGGTATCCTCTCTACTGTAAACAAGCACAGTGCCAGCTCACATGTGAGTTTGCGCCCACGCATACGTCAGGAAGACAGCAAGCTTGCACTCCAGATTCTCGTGAACGAGCTCAGGGCCATTTGCCTTAGGCTATGGATTACAAGTAAATAATGTTCGGTTTCTTGCAAAGACAGGTCATTTCACTTCATAAGACCTCAATATACAGTATATCGTCAGGAGCCATGGTAATAATTTTGTGTTGCCTGTATATGCTTTTCTGACTCTCAAAGTGATAGTATCTGGGAACTGCATTTTATGAACCACTAAGGACGACAGTTTCAGATAAAAATCTTTACTGTTCTACTGAAGAAAAAAGTTACCTACATCTTGTCTGACCTGAGAATGACTAAATTAACAGTAAATGTTCATTTTTGGGTGACCGATTGCTTTAAAGTGCAGGAAGAACAGTGATGCTAATACTAATGCTAGCAAGAGAATGCCCCTATAACAGGAGGTATGAGTAGATTAATTGATAACAAAACATATAATGTTCTACTTCAGGCTTTCTGTGAACAAATGTACCATCTGTTCTAGTTGGAACAATTGCACTAGCACCAGGAAAGCAGTTCAGATGTGGCACAAGAATGAATGTTATTTTCACAGTTCATGTGAACTAACGCCTCCCTTTCCCACTTTTATCTTCAGTTGGCAATTATGTTTATTCAAGGCCCAGCATATACATGCCATGAATTAACTTCCATTTGTTTCTATGGTTACTCCCTAAGACCAGTGCAACAAAGCACTTTGGCTGCTCAACTCGTCTGGTGACAGTCTGGATTGTTGTACGTGTAATTACGGTGGAATGTTTACTCCAATCATAGTCATTACTGTTCAAGCTCACCTGGACAGGCAACTGAAATTGAGTGCTAGGCCATAAAAAACATTTCACCGTGTGTTGTGCTCAATGCCACTGCAAGTCTGCATACCGCCAAACAGCTGTGACTCTCAATGTTGACCTGCATGCATGCACGTACAAGTATACACCCTCCATTTACACACCTTGAAACCTTGGAATGGGCAGTCAACTAATGAATTGTGGCAGCAGTTTAAAAGAAATTAAGTTTGGACTTCACACAATGTCTATACCACATGTGAATGAGCATCAAACAGCATCGAGTGAAAACAGCATCGCTTTTATAAGAGAAGCCTTGTCACGTCACCACTCACTTCTAGTGAAGACACTACAACCCTCTCAGAGAAAAGCTGTTTTGTAACAAATTCACCTACAATTATACATTTCTTAAAGTGAAAGGCATTTTACACTGTATGCAATCTTGTCATCCATACATACACATGAATGGCACTGAAAAACAAGCTAGCAAATGCTAAACGACATAGTACATTTGTAAGATTATGTAAATATTGTGTTTCGTACTATATGAAAGTGATATATAAATTAAAAAATATATATATATATTTTTCTGCATAAACATCTATCCTTTACATTCCAGGAGGAACCTAATTTTTTCTGTGCTAAAAAAACACGTACGCAAGGGTCACCAGAATAGTATACGCAATTTTTGTAACAGGTCGCATATGCTCATTGAATCTCTTTTGAACTAATCAATTGCTCCACAAGGTGGCAACACTGGCACTGGACGTTATTTCACATTAGAAAATAAAACTAAATAGACGGAATAACAACAGCAACAAATAGTGGCGACTGCAAATTGTAATCTAATTAACATTTTACTTACAAGAGAGGATCCAGCCTCCTGCTTGTTGTACAAGCAGGTTATAGGCCCAATGCACACAAGCAGAATAACTGCAGGTCTGGATGTTCACTACCAGCCCTTGATTTAAATTTAGAAGTTTGATAATGACTCCTTTATAGGATGCTCTTCATTAATTTTTTGGCACGCCTGAAAGCAAGGTGTTGCACTGGCATTTCTTATTCTGCATACTCTGATCAAATCAAACATCTGTGGAAAGGTATCTGGAGGTCTTAGTGAACTGCTAGGTGGAGCAAGTTATTGGTCTTGATTTTAATTAAACAGCAATTCATATTTTATACCAGTTTCACACCTTAAACAAGCACTCTACTGTTACTCCATCATGTGTCACTTGTGCACAAACTAACACGAATGCCTATTTATGTCTAGAAAGCATCTAGTCAAAGTCTTTTTAAGAAAAATCACACAACAGGCCCCATATTGAGCATTTCTATCACTCATACATGTATGAGTGGATTGTCCCTGGCGTATGCAATCTCTGATAGTGCAGTTCTTCAATTTCTCAGCCTTTGGTTACTAATTTAATGCTAGTTACACAAATTAGTGGCTGTTAGTAACAAACAATCAAGTATGTCCCATATTCAGCATTCAAAGAATGCCAGGGTGTCCAAAATAAAAACTGACCTCATTCCTAACCATAACAATAAAATTCCTGGAAGGCACTAGTATTTGGGATGAAACAAGAGGTGGTACCCAACATAACTTCCTACTTCTTCTGTTCATCCACCCAGGAGTTTAAATTAAGGAGGGAAAAACAAATCTATTTTCTCTCTCTTCCTCGTCATTATGTTTCTGTGACATAGCAGCCTCCCTGCGTATCCGCTTATTTTGAGATCAACTCCAAAGAAAACAGACATGCAATTATACATCAGACTGCAAAAATTAACCTTGTCCTATATGGGGTCACATCTGTCTGTTGTCTCAGAATGACCCGGAAGTGCTTGGGTAGGTGGCAGCATCCCAAGTGGATCTAAAAACTTAGCTGTCATCATTCTCCACAAAGGGAGAGGCCCCTGATCACTCTTTAATGTCCCATGTTGTCACTTGGCTTGAGAAATTTGTCAAATGTGTTTTCCAGGACCATTCCAGAAGAATTCCTGTCACCACCCTTTTGCAAATACCAGTGGAATTGAGAAACTAATACATTAAAGCAGTGATCTAGTAGACACGCAACTCAACAGAGATAATCCTACTGGAGCAACATAGGGTTAGGTGCCTTTCTCAAGGATGAACTCTTCTGGTCACCAGTCAATAGCTACTATGCCACGCCATCCTATACCACATCACACCAAGTCCAAAATCTGTAACCTTGATTTTAAGTTAAGGTAAAGATCCAGAGGCATCTAGTTTGCTACCATGCTTTGCTACATAAGGATGTTTGAGGTTCCATTAAGTGATCTATGTTAAATTCTTACCTGATGAAAAAGGATGCTGCAGCTGAAGTGGGATGATCAGAGGAAGCAGACACAGCCTGGCCAAAATGAACCGGACTTCTCTGTCTGGAGGGAGTCAGGGACACTCTGGAGATGGTGGCATCTGAATGCCATTCGTTCTGCTCTGCTTGACCTACGAGGCCTTGTGTCTGGGATGGGGAGAAGCAGGAGAGGAAATGCTTCAAACTCTGGATCCCAATAATATGACATTAAATTACCTTCTTGCATTGTTCCATGAATCACACGCCTAGGTCACGGAGGATCACACCTTCTTGAAGGAATAGAGCAAGTCCTTACAAGGAGCAAGAGGCAGTTCCCTTATGGATTATGTTTCAAAGGTCACAAATAAAAAGAAGGAGGTAACACTTACTCACATGCATTTATCATAAAGTACATAATTAACCACCAGGGAGGAACATTATTCCCTGTACTAAAGGTATGAACAGGGTTTCAGGATAGAGATTAGACCGATTCACAAGAAATGTGAATTCCTTATCCAGAACCATAGTAAGATTCAGAGGTTGTCAATCCAGACATGGGTCCACCAGGTCTCCCATGATTTGAGGCAATACAGGCAAGCTCTCGAGAAAGTGGACAGGTCAAGAATCTAGTCTTCTATCAGTGTCTCCAATGGTGTTCCCACAAAAGCTCAAAATCTGGGTGCTTGAGATATGCATGATTCTACAAATCGACTCTACACTGTGATATTTGAAATGCTGTTACATAATTCTTGCATGAAGTCTGTGAGAAATAGCTTTTTTGCAGATAATAAAATAAAACATCTAGAACATATTGGTTTGTAGTTGATAAATATTCTTGCACTGAAGCCCATTCATTCACTGACGTTTTCATTATTTTACCAGAGTTGCTCTTTGTCTCCGAGGCTTGTGAGTAACTAAGTAGCTTAAACCCACAATCAATATGATCTGTCAAGTGCTTGTTTTGAATGTAGGCAGTGTGTTAAAAGGCTTCAGGTAAGGTTGGGCAATTTCCCAGAGAATATCATGAGTTAGTCACTGACAGCACATTGAGCAATAGACAACCATGGCTTTAGGGTGGCATGTCGTCTATGTTGCGGTGGTTGTGCATAATGGCTGGATTCGTGTTTGGTCTGGATTCATGTCTGGCAACTAAAATAACATCATTAACAATCTTTCATGAAGCATAGGCCATCCAGTGCGTGATGCGTCAACAGAACTCTGACAGGAGAACTATTTATATACCTTGGATGACATATGAGCTCCATATATCACAAACCTTCAGACATATGGAAGGATTACTCACATGAGACAGAATACAACAAGCAGCATCCATTCTGTTTCTAGTCTACACTTTGTTGAACTGTGACATTTGGTTGAATAATTACTATTACATAAGCTTCAACTGATTTGAGGGTTGGAGGGTTTTGAACAAAAGCAAAAGGTTTTGTTTTGTTTGAGTTGTTTATGTCTGTTTATTCAGATGCTCCAGGATTGTGTTTATGTCTATAACTGCTTTCTGTGTACGGTTGAAATCAATAATTGTTATGTCTGTCAGTTCAGTCGCAGAAATGGCAATTCCATTGTTCGAAATTACAAAGTATGCATGTGGACATGACTTAAACTTCAATTAGTGTTTTGGGGGGAATGACTATCCATACACAATAGCTGTTCCTGCGGCTTTTTATGTGAGCTTTTTTACAGCTTAGGTGGGATCAAAAAACGATTCTGGTGTCCAGGTTTTTGAGCCCGTGAGAAGTCAGAAAGGGCTCAGATGAACTTAGCACTCATGCATTCATCAACGCAAAAAACGACATGCTGGATCCGTGACATGACAGAGTCCTATCGCAGCGCATGGCATTCCGGTTTCAGATGAGCCGTGATAAATCAAAACCGCGTCACACTGACAGTGAATATTGTCTATCTGGACAGAATGGTAATCCCCACGTACAGATAAAGAAGGAACGGGTGTCACATTTCACATCAACAGGATGTTTAAAGGGGCATACGCAGTCGAAGCGAGACAGAATTTGGGATGCACAAACATAGACATTAGATGCACATTCAAGCACACACACACTGAAGCAGCTGTCAAAAAAAACACTATGGGTTTTTGAGGACTTAAGCCCTCCAGTCAAGCTGTTTTCATGAGTGTCAGACACAGAGCATGAGGTGCACGCGCTGTATCCCCAGGTCGGGTCATTAAAGTACAGCTGCAGAGAGCTCCCAGCACTCGATAAAATCAGGTATTCTCTTTATGCTACACCCTACACCCTCTCTACAACCATCTCTACACTAGAGTCCAGAAAATCCAACTATTCACACCTCCTTCCGAATGTCTGTCTTTCCTTTTCTTTTATGTGAAGGAGCAGCATAATTTCTCTCTCTTTCTCCTGTTCTGAGGGAGGCAGATCACAGTCTGTTCACGCTGCTTAAGGATTCCTGGTTTTGGGCTCCCAGTAGGCCAGTAGGTCATTCTAGCCCATATGAAACCCACGTGAAAAATCCCATCCTGCTATGCTCTAATAATTTTATCTGCCAGCTTGAGTAAAGAGCAATAAACCTGACAGTAACATGCTCTCAAGACGGATTTTCTTTTCTTTTTAAAGGTGTTACTCATCAGATTATAGCAAAATATGTTTGACCAAAAGCTCTAAGAAACAAAAAAATGTTCTGCGTTTGTTGTAGTGTTAATTTCGTTAACGAAAACTATGATGACAAATGTTGGTTGACAAGCTTTTTTCCTATGACTAAAACTAGGGGTGCGCTGATCCGATATTCAGTATCAGTATCGCTCCAATACTGCCACTTTATGCTGGATCGGGGAATCGGTCAGACCAGACCGATCCAAATCCGATATTGTGCTTATACTATTCTGTGTTATTGTTAAGCCCCACGAAAGGCACAAAAACATTATAAAGCACAATAAAGTTTCCGTGCACTATATTTCAAGTGTTCTGAGACCGTGCCATAGTTTAATGTGAGGTACAGATGAATATTTAAGTCGTTAAATTCAAGTTCTCGTAAACTCTTCTCTCCTCTGCGGCTGTGAGTCATCCTCCATTCAGCATTCAAACTGCGCTGTTAGATCACAACACTGGAGTAGAAAGCACTATGAATTGTTTTTCATGCGCACAGAAACTGAAATTTAAAACTTAAAAGAAAAGGCTCAATAAACTATCGCACAGATATAATACACTACGCATCAATGTCTCTTCCCTTTGTGCTTTGAGCTTTTCTATGCGGAGCGCTGCGCGCTGTGACTCCGTGTTGCTTCAAGCGCATCATTCTGTGCATGGGATGTGCATAAGCACTTCGTGCCACTCTGCATTGGAGCCTTTCATGTTATAATACTTTTGCGCAATGAAAGATTGTTAATAGCCTTTCTTGTTCTGTCTTATATATCATATGTTGCTGCCTCATTACTTTGCTATAAATGTAAAATAAATGTATTTAATTTATTGCATACATTTATATATAATTATATTTACTTATTTTCCATGATTGTATATTACAATACAAAGAGCAATGTGTAACATTTTACCAGATTACACCTATTTATTGTATCCCCCCCCCCACTAAATAATGTTTTTTCTCTAAATGTTTATATTTTATAAAATTATTGTGAACTCATTTTTGTAGAGTAACTTTTGCTGCTGAATTATCCACTAACCTAGTTTATAATATAATTTTTCTCATAGATTATGATTATATATATTTTTTAATTTGTTATTTTTCTTTATAATGAAGTAGTCTATATTTACTAGATTGTGTAATACACAAAAGAGTGATGATCGGGTCAACACACACTGAGGTATATAGGATCGGTTCTGAAAAAATGGCATCGGTATCATGCCACCCCTAACTAAAACGTGATGATGGCAAGATGACAATAAGGTGAATGAACGATAACTCTGACTATAACAACATGCAATATCGTTGGCGATAAAAGACATGACCAAAATGTATTTTAAAAAAGAAAAACTTTATTTATTTTCCTCAAAAAAAAAAAGAGACAAAATATTTCTGCAGACTATTGTGTATGCCTCTACTACGCAAGCTATCGTGTGTGCGGTTGCCAATCCCCAAACCAGATCTCTCTTAAAAGGATACATGTTCTGCTTATTTGTTTGCAATCTGGCAACCATGCACATGCACTCACTCTTCATTACGGAAGTGCCGATGATAAAGGCTATACCATCTCATAATTTGGCAAGTTATCTTAGAAGATTTGTAACAGCCTGAAGTCAGAAGTGTGGCTATGATGTCTAAAAATGTGGTGTTTTGAAACAGAACTTCAATGGCAGAATTATCAGGTATTGTAAGTGGATTTGTAAAACGCATCATTCGAATTTCAAAATAACAGATGTTCTTGAGTGTGTGTATGAATATGTTCTTATTCCGCTTTATAAACAAGTATTATGATGGCAGCACATTGATAGTATCAGACGGTAATATCATGGTACTTGAATATTGTAATAAATTGTTACCATGGGCAATCCAAGAGACTTAAAGCGGTGGTTGACTGTTTTTTTTTCTAGGCTTGATTGTGTTTATGAGGTGCAGTCTAACATGTGTTCATGCTTCGTTTAAAAAAAAAAAAAAAAAAAAAAAATTTTTTTTTCAAAAATTTACTTTTTTTCCAACCCCTCTTTTC